CGTTAAATGATTTTGAATACTTACTAAATCAAATTTCATCCCAAATTTCAAAACAAGACACCCAATTAAGAAAAGCTATTCCTGCCCAGATACGTCTTGCTATAACATTGCGATACTTAGCCACAGGAGATAGCTATGAAAGCCTTCATTTTTTGTTCAAAATATCACCACAAATAATATCAGAAATTATTCCAGAAGTGTCTAGCCCTATGTCAGGCATTGAAGGATGAAATAAGACTAAGTATAGAAGAAAATATTTTTTTAATGAAAATTTGTTTAAGTATATTGAAAACAAACGTATGTAATACAATAATCTTAAATCTAACACGACTGGTTATATCTAAAAATATGTGAGTACCGAATACCAGTGGCTAATATAAATATAACATATGCATCTGACATCAGATCAAAAATATAAATTGATATCAAGATACGGGCAAATTTAGCCGTACATTCAATGTTTTTCATGTGATTTAAGTCAAGTCGAATGCTGTTTGGATTATATTAATTGCCTGATTAGATTCTGGGTTATCGGTGACTTGGTTCGGAATATGGAGGACAGGATATTCAACATCAGGTGTGCGAATCACCTGGTTGGATTGAATCATAATCTTAGGAGGTGGGGCTGATACTGCTTTTCTATTTTGACAATAAGTTTGTTGAGTCACCTGCTCATAACGATTGGTAGGCTCTGAATACGTAGATGGTGATGTGCCAGGCCTTGATTCATTAAAGTTGTGGGCGATGCTGGGATATGTTGGCGATGGAGTTTGCAGGGAGGGCGTCTCCTCCAATTGGTATCGTAGGTACATGCCGTCAATGTCGTGCATAAACTTTAATCTATTAATTTCAGATAGCTTTCGCAACTTATTTGCCAATAATTTGCCATATAAATCGCAATCATCGCTAAGATGGGTTGATGATTCATTTCTGTTTACCGCGGATTTGAATGTGGCAAGAGCATCTTTAACAATATTTTCAGCATGAATCAGCTCCGAAGGGTTTTGGCGTCGGCGGATTGTCTGATTGCCGTCTCTTTGGGTGTCCATAGACTGACTTTGATTTTCATTCGTCTCTTCAAGTATCTCTTCAGTTGGTTCGGAATTTGCTCCTTGAGTCTCCTCCAACCCGCGTTCCTAAAAAAAAAACATACAATTTCATGAAGGTTATATATATATTGAAGAGTTTCTATCACTTTGTGGTGTCAGACGAAGGTTTTATGTTTTCTTTTTTGCAGATACCGTCTTGTCCGGAAGAATGGCTTTGTATTGAGAAAGGATTTGCAAGGAAGTTTCCTCGAGCAATAGGATCAATAGATGGCAAACATATTGTTCTCGACTGTCCGTTCAATTCTGGCTCTGAATACTATAATTATAAAAGATAAAAGAACCTACAGTATAGTATTATTGGCATTATTTGATAGTCAGTACAACTTCATATTTGCTGACATTGGCTGCCAAGGCAGAATAAGTGACGGTGGAGTTTTCACCAATAGTTTGTTATGGAACAAGATATGCACGAATAGCTTAAATTTACCACCGCCGCATCTTTTGCCCGGTTCAAATATAGTCAACGCCAAACAAAGTGGCGTGCACGTCATCAAGGTGGGTGTGTTGAAAAATTTACATTGTTGACAAACTTTTTGTAAAATAATAAAATTTATTATTTACATATCTAGGTTTATAAGCAATATTAACCTCAAATGAGAACAAAAATAATAGTATAATAAAATTATAGATCTGTACTTGCATAATCATTAAGTATGACAATTATTGATCAGATGACACTATGAAACTACCATATTTAATTGATAGCTTAAAGGTACTGAATAAAAATCCAAATGGGGTCCTCCAAATTTTATGCATGGTATTTATTTTACAGAATTCATACAGAAAAATGCATTCTAAAATTAGGTAAGCTACTGGTGTAAGCTTTTTCTGTACAATAAAGTTAGTCGGAGTTTCTTTCTTCAGCGCTGTCTGAATCTGAATCTTCATCACTCTCAAAGTTGATTATTAAAGGTTCGATGTCTGGTCGATCAAAAATTCGTTCTCTTTCATACCATTTAAAAATTTCTTGCTCAGTATGTCGAACACTATTTTTCCACATGTCTGGGGTAACCGTTTGTAGAGCCTCGTTCCACATATCCAAACAGTCTTTTTCACTGTTACCATCTCTACCAATATGTCTGTTATAGTAACCTTTTGCTATGCCCCAAATTAACTCAATAGGGTTAAATATACAATGGTAAGGAGGCAGACGAAGAACTTTGTGCCCATGTTGTTCCGCCAATTCATCAATCACGTATATTTTAGGTGGTTTGTTTCTAAAAAAGCAGTTATTTTAAGAATAGGAATAAACAAAAGAAATATAAACTGTCGACCAAAATATATATAATTAAGAAGCATTATGTACCGAGCAACAATACTCAATAGCTCTGTTTTAAACATGGTATGTTTTGATTTGTCAACCAGTCTTGGATATTTTTTTTTGTCCATTCATTGTTGGGCACTTTGTTCAATATCATGCTGTGATAAGGGGCGTTATCCAGTATAATCATAGATGGACTCTCCAATTTTTCTAATAACTGATGTTGAAACCATTTCAAAAAATTGTCCTGGTTCATCCATGGTAATCGCTCAATTTTGTTTTCGAAGAAAATATCGCTTCACTACCCTCAATAAACCCATTTTCATTTCCAGCATGTAATATAATGTATCTAAAATATATTAGTTTTAAATTTTATAGTGCAAATTGTGTAAAAGTACATACCTTTTACCATCTGTTTTAATAGCTTTCACGCTTTTTTGGTTTCCATTTTGCCAAGAGCGACCTATGGTCCCATTTTGAAATATCCAAGTTTCATCGAGGAAGACAAACTGGTATAAGGCCTCAACCTTGGCTTGATTGTATTGTCTTAGAAATTCCACCCTTTTCAAAGCTATACTTGGTAGTTCCATGAGCCCTCGTCGCGGATTGTCCTTAAGCCACTTAAATCCAAGATCTCTAAGCAACCGCCTTAAAGAAGTGGCACTACCATCAAATAATGCCCTATCTCTTAATCGAGACCATAAAGTTTGTATCGTAACTTGTTCTTCTGAAACCATGTGTAATATGACATTATAATTTAGTTAACAAATTAATGCAAATTTCTGATAAGTTATTATAATAAGATCTTACTTTTGTGATACATATTATAGATCACTTCTCGAATGGCACTTGTATCCAATGTCGCTGTGTTGGTTACACGTTTAATATAAGTCCGCTTTTTCTTGGGCGATTCTAAATTTGCATCACTTTTCACATCCTCGGAAATACGACTAACTGTCCTTAAACTAATTTTTAAAGCAGCAGCAACACGCTACAAAAAATGAAATAAAATTTCACTATTATTAATATACATTACATATAATTATTAGTAACCTACCTCTTGAACAGCATTTAAAGGCAACAAAGGCCCGTTGTTGTCCCTTTCTTGCTCAAAGTAGTGCATTAACGAGGCCACGAGTTCCTTACACCGACTATTTAACTGTTTGGGCATCTTTATATACCAAAATTGTTTCAAGGTGACAATGTGTCAACGCTGCGAAATCGGTTTAGTGCGTTTACATGTCGATAAGTGATTGGAGCGTTTGCAAAACATTTTATTTCGCATAATGCGTCTAAATTTATCAGAAAGCAACTTATGTGATATTTTAATAACAATGTTTATATGACTATTAACCATAATAAGAGAGTAATGACCATTTTACAATTTATATATCACATTAATATGAAACTGCAATAGAGCAATTGTTTGTGATAGAAACCTAGGCATTAGGTCGGGGAATTTTTATCGTGATGACGTGCACGCCACTTTGTTTGGCGTTGATTATATTGATGTTCCCTACATTTTTTTGGGAGATGGAGCCTTTGCACTTTCAGAACACTTAATGAAGCCCTATCCTGGTCAGCACAACATAGGATCAGAAAAACGTGAATTTAACAAGAGATTATCTTCAGCTCGAGTGGTGGTGGAAAATACTTTTGGTATGATGACTGCCCGATTTAGAGTGTTTAGAAAGCCGATTCCATTACAACCAGAAAAAGCTACCCTTATAACAATGACTTGTATATTACTACATAATTTCTTGAGACGAAGCTCCAATTCTTCGTGTATCTATACACCACCCGGATTTATTGACATTTATGATGATGATTCAGTACTTATATAACCTGGATCATGGAGGAAAGAACAAGAAAAAACTTGTGCTATCCGTAACTTGAGGAACGTAGCTCGGCGATCACCAAAAGATGCCACAGAAATAAGAAACGAATTCACCAAATATCTAAGTAATGTTTAAGTACTTTATTAATCAAACATATAGCTGACTTACCGTGTCAACATTATTTTTACACTTGAGGGTACCTCCCAAAAACTCATCCATAGTTTCATAAGCGAACCAAATAGGCTGATATATATCATCGGCACCAGCTCCCGATTGAATAGACTTTTTGACTTTGTTCTTATAACTCCTATAACTTGACATTAAAGAATCTTTTTTCTTTCTCAATTCATCCACTGGGATTTCCATCACTGAGCTTATCCGCATCCATGCATCATGAGTTTTAAATTCATTCCTATAGTCTTTTATCTTAGTGTCCCACAGTACCGGTTCAGCACGAAAATATTCCAAAAATGATAGTTCCAATTGGTTACTCCAGTTAAAACTCATTTTTCACGACAAATCGAAAATTCGTATCCGTAAAGAAAAACACAACCACTGCCGTCACTCGCTATGAGGCAACTGAACCACCAGCGAATGCGGAGCCTAGTCATGTTCGCGCCTTGCGAACCCTTTGTCGCGGGACGAAAAACCGACAGCAAACGGGAACGACGCGCGAACGCGACGTGAAGCCGCGAATGGGTTCCACACTCATGGGTCGCAGGTCGCAGGTAGTTCGCGGCTTCGCGCGCGATCCGCGCGTGAGTCTGGAGAGGGTATTAAAATGTGCCGACGTGTGGAGTGGCTTGGAACAATGCTGCTCCGAAATAATTAATATAGGTAAGATGTGATAATGAAATAGAGCAGTTTTACTTTTGATATTTATTGGAATTTAGAATATGTCACCAAACCCTTAATTAAGCATGCGTTTATGTCCACTTTGAAAAAAAACCTGAGTAAAATTTTCCCACTCCACTCGGTTCCTCTGTGCCTACATTATTTTTTTATAAATTGTGTTTCAAGAAATGATTTTCAGTTCCAGTTTCTGTCACCCAGGTTTCAAGATTGGAGTGGCTTAAAAAGATACAGCACGCGTATTCTGTATCCTCTAAGAAAGAAATTTCTTTCTATAAACTCTTTATCGCACTTTACCCTATTCTGTAAGATGATTCGGCAGCGATCGGGTTGCACGAACGCATTGTTCGGTATAAAGGAATAGAAAGGCAAAATTACCTCTTTCTATTATTCTTGTCTCTTTTTAACACACGCGTACTTATTGCATCTTTGTCGGCAGTCCGCATGTTGTCTACATTACGTAAAAGTGGGGTTATGCATATGTTAATATGTTAATAACGACGGTTAATAATAATCATCTACAAGTGAATACCATGGGTAAGTCTCAGTTTAATACCAAACTACTTAATTTTTAAATAACATTTTCCAGATAAACGGGATTTTAAGACTCATCCTCACCAGTGGAGCACTATTGTGGACTTTGGAGAAGAGCATCCCACAATTTTTAGACCACAATTCAAACATGGTGACGATGATGCTAGACAAAATGCGATATGTTGGGAGAAGCTAGTACAATCATTGAATTCGATGGGATTTGGGTTTAGGAGTGTGGAGAAATGGAAAATGGTTTGGTTTTTATATCATGACCGTATATATTTACCTATATCGTGCTTGTTGCACAAATTATAGACAGTAGTTTACCACTTAGGTTTACTTTATACAACTGGAAAAAAACTTTTGATTATTCTAAAGTTCTTTGAGAATTTGTATTTTAAACGTTCAAACCACAAACCACCTCCAGCAGCTTACCAAAATGACTAAAATTATATGTCAGTTTGTCATTTAAAAAGATACAAATATATGTACTTTGAAATACTTAAAGACTGAATGTGGGTGTTTATTAATGTTTAATGTTGGACAGTGCTATATCAATAATTTATCATTTTTATATATTGCTTTAGGCTGTTGGTAGATGGAAATCTAAGGTTAAGGTAAAAGCAGCACAGCTGAGGATCGAGAGCCAAAAAACTGGTGGTGGCTGTTTAAATGCTGCTCCGTTAACAGACACGGAGGAGCGACTAATGAAATTAATTGGTTGGAAATCAGTAACAGGGAATAGCAATGCAGAGCTGGGATTGGTCATTTGATACATTTAAATGAAATTGTAAGTAGGATTGTAATATGCAGGGTGAGCTTTCAGTGTGGCCTCAGTTGATAACTCTGTTATTAAACATGATATCAATCAATCAATTTTCAAATGAGGCACCCTGTATATTTTAACATCCTCTCATTGCCCTTTAACAGGGTTGACTCTTTTTAAATCAGATATGAATGGAAAAAAATGAAAAATATTACATTACATTCCCAAATAAAACATAGCATAATGGCAGAGCTAGCGGCTGAGCCCTCACAAAGAATTAACCCTGTATGTACTTACAGTACAAACATTTTTATCTACAGGGATCCATCCGGCCCATCGCAGCACACTAGCCACTGCCAGAATTGAAACCCTTCATAGAAGGAAACACCAGTAAAACTGCAACACCAAATCCTCAACCTTCTTGCAGCACAGTATCGAAGTCGCCTCCAACACTTAATCAAGAACCAGCCAGAAAACGTAGTCGACTATCTACTGAAAAATCAAGGAAATTTGTTTCCTTGGCAAAAATGCATCAGGAGGCCATGGAGGAAAGGAAAAAATTGAGAAATATTGTCAAACGACAGGCTGAAGCCCAAGAAGCAATGGCTGGAACACTTAAAGAACTTTTGGCCTATATAAGAACAAAAGATGAAAAATGAATAAACATAATAGTGCATTGTAAACAATGTGATTTTAGTTTTAGAAGTATAAATAATATTTATTTATAGAATTTATTTTTGTTTGCTCTTAGATTGTTTGACTGAATAATGATTCAAGTTTTTTCGTTGTAATGTTTGTTTGTGGAAAACCTTTGTCTTTGTTTCATGGTGTTTTTCACAATAAAATATTTTTTTTAATTTTAGTTTCATTTTATTTGAAATATCTATCTAACATTTTGAAAATACAATTGTATTATGTTGACTCTCCTTGCCTGCCCTTGTTCAAGAACATTGCTTACAATAGCATCCGACTCTGGAACATCATTATCATCTTGCTCCTCTTCTTGATCTTCCATATCCAAATTAGCCCTAACACACATGTTGTGTAGGACACAAGGGGGCATAATGTAAGACCCTGTCTTTCAATAGACAACGAAACCTATTTTTCAAAACTCCTGAAACAAAATTTTCTCATTTAGTACAAAAATATATTAAAAATAAACATTTTTTATAAAATACCTATACATCTTTCCACACAATTCCTGGTTCTTGTCAAAGCTGCCGTATATCTACCTTCAGGAGTATCAGTAGGCATACCTTGAATAGGAGTCATAAGCCATGGCTCTTGTGGATAACCACTATCTCCAATTAACCACGAATTATGATCACCATTATTGTACATTTCTTCTAAATGAGTCCTTACATTGGTATTTCTCCAAATAAAAGCGTCATGAGATGCTCCACCATAATTTGCTTTTATATTTAGAATCAATAGATTTGCATCACATATTAATTGTTTTGAATGATATTGCTTTCTATTGAAATATAGATGCTCATCATCTTGAGGTGTAACAATGGCAATATGAGTGCCATCAATGCAGCCTATTACTCCTGGAAATCCAAATTGCGCCATAAACTGTTCTTTTTTTCTGTTGCTTTTCAGCTTCACTTAATGGGAATTTTACCCATCTATGAGCAATTGACTCTAGAGCCAGACAAACTTCAGACACTGCTCTGCTAAATGATGGTTGTGACAATGCCACATACGCCTCATTTCCTCCTGCCTTCTGATATGAGCCCTGAGCAAAAAACCTTAAGGCACCAAAGATCCTTATATGGACGGGAATTCTTGTGCCTCTTGCTCCTGCATCCATATGAGGGGTAAGATCACGAATGAGATCTTGTACCAACTGCCGACTAAGTCTGAAGCACTTTCGGAACTCTCGTTCAGGCAATTCGAATGCATTTTGTTTATCTCGTAAAATTCTCCGCTCCAAACGTAATTGGTTTTGTGCTTCTTCATCTTCTGCGTCCTGTAGCAAATGAAGGAATATTGGCTCCATACTTTTACATGTAGGTGCTATTTTTTGTACTTCTATCTCCTTACATAAACTTGCACGAATCGTAAAATCTAAATTATTAATAATTCGGAATTTCCCAACAAATTGACAAATTAAACAAGCAAAACAACAAATATTTTATATCGTTGCCAACTTACCCGAATGACTTCCAAAATTTCCCTAAAAGATGTCAATGTTTTTACAATGGATAGTTCACATTTCTCTGTAACCGAACGCCCGTAGAGAGAACAGTACAGAATAAGTTCACGACATGAAAGAAATTTCCTCTCTATACTTAAAGAAAGAAATTTCTGTTTCTAGGACGATACAGAATACGCGTGCAGGTGAGTACCTACATGACATTGATTCTGATAATATTGTGAAGTTGCTCAGGGCATTTATTATGTTTCACTTAAATCTTGTTGATACTACTATGGCAAAAACAAGCAAGAAATAGACACGACAGTGCCTATATCCTTATTGCCAAAATAAATATATACTGAATGTTAAGTCATTCATATCCCCCATCCAAGAAATTTCGATTCTCAAAAAATCCAGTCAAAGGCAATTATGATACAATGCCTGTGGATTAGCTTCCAGTACAAAATCTGATAACTATGTTTGCGTAGGCCTGTTCATACTGTCTCATCATGTTTCCCTTCAGGATCCCTATTCACGTTTGAACTGTCTTGCAGTTCCAAAAGATGTTCATGGTCAAATTCTAACTCAACCCATTAGTCATTCAGATATTCAAGTTTTATTGAAAGAATGCTCTGTTGGTTCTCCTTCAACTTCGGCAGCAAGCCATGTAAATTGCCTGCCAAAAGAAGTACCAAAGACTTGACAGATGTAAGTACAATTGAACACGATCACTGCTATTCTTAGCCAGATTTTGTGGTAGAGACCTTGGTACAGATTCATTATCAAGATAAATATACATTGCAGTCAGACACTTCGAGTTCATGCCTTACACAATTAGAAGTAAAAGTCAATTAACAGAAAGGAAATCTAAAATATATCAAATTCACCGCAACACAAAGTGATGTTAAGATCCCCCAATGTCCTACATGTTAAGAAGCACTTTGATGAGTTGACCCCATTACAGTTGTATGTTCATTTCAAGGAACAGGACAACAAGCAGAGGCTAACATACGCAAATGACAAACTAAATCATTTACTAGATGTTATCCATGTAAAACTGTATAGTTTTTTGGATAAGTTTTCCCATTTGCCTAATAATCAACCCTCCTTCAAAATAGGTCTGACACAACTGCTTGAAAATTTTCAGCTTTGCAATTTTCATGATGACCCCAAAAATATCATTAACAAATGCATCAGACTGACAATCTTCTAGTATATTAAACATAAAAATTCTTTGAAAATACCTCTTGATACATCTGATGGTCATTCAAGGAAAATGAAAAAGTTGAATGCCACCAGGTAAAATATTTTCGAATATTTGCTGTTGGTTTTTTAATTATTTCATGTACCTCCACGGATGAACTATCATAAACCCGGCTGTAGGGATGCCCAAAATTGAAAAAACATCGATACTGGTATCAAATGATGTATCGAAAATTGAAAACATCGTTCTTTCCGATACATCGATATTTTCAAAAAAATCGATGTATCGAATCAGCGAATTTTGCTAGTTTTGATTAGTAAAGTAAATAATCATAATTCAAATCATTTTTGGAAAAACTAGTCATTAAATATTAAAGTAAAAAGTCTATTATAAAGGAGACTCATTTTATTTAAAAATATACTTTTGGAATATAGTTATACATTAGATTACAGATTACTCTAAACATATAATCCTAAATCCATATAGAAAATGAACTGCAACATAAAATAAAAACAAATTAATTTACACATTCCAAAACTTCTTATTAACACTATTTAAAAATAGTAACTTTGAAAGTCTTTTTCCTTTCAGACGATTTCTCGTTTGTGTCAGTGTTTGCCCTGCCTTAGAGAAAAGACGTTTAGAAGGTACGGAGGTTGCCACAATCGATAAGTATTTCTGGGCCAATTTTGCTAGGATGGGATGTGTTCCAGACATTGTTTTCCAAGTAGACAGCGGGTTATCAGAAAAATTGGAAATTGGACTCCTTAAGTATTGAGTGACCTCTGATGTAATATCTGTAGAATATTCATCTAATTGTTTCGATTTCGTTTGTTCAACAATTGTATGGGGACCGCTCCACAAATTAAATTCTTTTGAACTGCCTGAAAAAATAAAAATAGATGCAAAAATTAGCTTTCATTTCATTGAAAAATATTAGTTTTACCTGGATTTGCATCTACATTGTCAATTCCGTCAACATCGCCAACGTAAGGTTCTCCAGCTTTCTGTAACTTAAGTTCTTCTTTGTAAAGGCATTGTAATAAATTAACAGCATTTGCGCAAGCTAATGGGTTCTTAAAATGAAGTCTTTTAAAACGTGGATCCAGTAATGTGGACACTGCTAGTATCTCTACGTTTTCAATATCTCCAAATCTCTTTTCCATCTGTTTAAGCAAACTTTTTTTAATTCTTTACCAATCTCTAAAACATCATAAAGTACTTAGAATTCCACCAAGTACTAACTTCTTGAATTAGTTTTGTTTCAGTACCAGTTGCTTTTCTTAGTTCGTCGCTAGCCACTACGCTTGCTTTAAACCAGGTAACAATCGTTTTTAATTTTGATATCAGAGTAGACAAGTTAGCAACGTCACTAACAGATTTTTCAGCAACCAAATTAATTAAATGTGCAAAACAGGCAATACCATATTTTTTTCCAAACCCCAACTCTACTGCTTTTAATATGTTGGCACCGCTGTCAGTTACGATTGCTGAAATATTTTCTTTTTTTATATTCCACATTCTGCAGATGTTTACTAATTCATCAGCTAAATATTGTCCCGTATGTCGTTCTTGAAGCTCGATTACACCCAAAGTAGTTGATGCTAGTTCTGTTTCATTATCAGAGCAATAGTGTAGTGTAAGGCCTAAAAAGCTTCGCGTCTGCATCGTATCAGTCCACACGTCCGTGGTTAGTGTAATATAATATAATATAATAAATATTCTTTGTTTTACTCAACTTTTCACGAACATTCGCAGCTACACAATCATATTTGAGGTCCAAAAGTCGAGTAAAGCTAGTCTATTTGGTACTTTAAATTGAGGAACAGTTACCTTCATCAAATTCAGGAAGCATTCATTTTCAACAAAAGAAAATGGTTGTAAGTCTTTACATATCATATATAAAATCGATTCCTTTATTTGACGCTTTTTATTGCCACCTTCTGAAAACAATCGTATATACTCAAACGAATCTGTCATGGTTTTTTGACGCTTTGGGGCAACTGTGAAAGATGAAGATGAACTTTGTTCTGAACTTACTGGCGAAGGAGATCGAGATCTTGCTCTGGATGGCCCTGGTAATACATCGTCATCGTAGTAATTGCTTTTGGAGGCAGTACCTGTACCTGCAGGTTCTTTTTTAGAGTCCACTGGCTTAGTTAGATTAATATTTTTATGCAGGCGATCAAGATGCAGCATTAAATTCGTAGTATTTCCAGAAGTTTTTAGAATTTTAGAACAGTAACGGCAAGTGGCAGTATTTGCTGAATTTTCTGAGAAACGTTGCTTTTTGGAGGTGTCATTTTGAGCTTAAAAAAAGATAAAAATGTTTTTTGTTTTATACGATGCTAATTTTGATTAATAATAAGTTTGCGACAAGCGTTCGCAACATGATTCAAATTTGTAAAGACAAATAAGTACTTACTTGTAGAGTATGTAATTATTAGTTATTTCAATGTAGAACAGACACAAATACGAACATTGAACAGCACCGTTCGAAAATAACGTTACATTAGCTCCTTCAAAACAACACTAAAGAACTGTCTACAAGTCGGCACAATTCTGCAGTGTTGGTTAAAAAAATGGGATTCCCCGAACGCAGGGCATCAAAGCATTGTTGCCAATGTTCCTTTTTTTTGTTAGTTATAGTGAAGCGATTCGATACATCTATAGGCAGTACTTCGATACATTCGATACATCGGAACAAAAATATCGATGCAAAATCATCGAAAATCGAAACAAAAATATCGATACTTTCGATACATCGATACATCGTGGGCATCCCTACCCGGCTGTGGCATACCTGACAAGGACATTTTTACCATATTGTGATAGAATTGTGTTTTATTTTATTTTTTAGTATTTCATGTTGAGTTATTAAATTACTGTATATGGCCTGTATCATATACATACAGGCTTTACTCATGTAAAATTTTGCAAATTAATGTTCATTCAGAAGTATAATGTTATGTTTGATTAACGAAATCTTGTACCCTTTACATACAGATTTCACAATATTTTTGTGTGTGGTATCATGGGTTTTTTGTAGTTTCCTTATGATCGTATACTCGAATTATTATTCAGAAACCTCTCATGGGGGTTTCTGATTCTTCATTGCACTGTATTGCTAATGCACCACATTACGTTATCTACCAGAATAAAGTTATTTTTTTAATTATATTGTTTTATTTATCACTCTTGAACGAACCCAATCACAAATACACGTGAGGTATCGGAATTGTTTTTCCTAATGCAAAATTAATTTTTATTAGGAAAACCATTCAAAACAACCAAATAAAGATGACAATGAGTGACAGATGTTGTGAGACAGTAGGCAACCATAAGAGCACCGCCGTATGTCATTGTAAGAAACATGGCGGCATATGTCATTCGTCGAATAATTGTTCTGAGTAGACAGGCGTTCTTTCTGTGTCATATTTGTTCTTTCACCACGAAATAGCGACATTCGTGTTGCTGGTTGAATTACACGAGTTAGTGTTGGTATTCTTTCAGTGTATATTTTGTGCTTGTGTGTATAGTTTTGTGGTGTATATATATTTTGTTTTCATCATTGAATATTGAGTATGTCGGCTACCTTCAAGAATGCCAAAAAGAAACTGTTGCAGGCTGAATTCCGGAAGTTTATGGATGAGCATAAAAGTAAAGCCAAAGACGTGAAGAGAATCGAATCGCCTTTGGCAAAATATCCTTTCAACTGTATTATCCGTTTTTTTTCATCTCTTTTGTAAAATTCTATGTTAGCTAGATATGAAGCATAATTTTTTTATGCAACCAGAGCCCATAGGTTTGGATTTAACCTACAGTATAGAAAAGGTGCTAGAGAGGTTGCTAGTTTAAAAGCTTCTGATGTATTATCATATAATATGCATGTAGACAATGTATAGTTTTACCACATGTCAAATTTACAAGCTATAGGAAAATTTTTCCCTTAACACATAGTACATATAATGATTGTGGAGAACTAACATGTATCCTTTGCCAATCAATTGTCAGGTCTGAAACAGTCTGGACAGTCCACATTAACTCCAAACAGCACAAGGAGAATATCGAACAGGCAAGAAAGCTTAAGAAAAGGACCAACAACTTCACAACACCTGCAAAGCGGCCCATTAGTCCACCTGTACCACAAGTACCTGATAAGAAAATAAAGGGAATTTTGAGAAATACAAAAACAAATACCAATAGCAGTGAAAATCCTGAAACTGTTGGTAGATCTGTTGACTCTAAATTTCCACCTAAGCAAATTAAGCAAGAACAGGTAGTAATAGAAGCCACATCAGAAACTAAAGAAGTATTACCAGAGGGATTTTTTGATGATCCTAAATTGGATGCTAAGGTGAGATTATTAATAGAAGTGCTGGTTTATATTTTCCATTTTTATTGAAAACCAGCTTTTCCTTTTCTAGTCTTTGTTTCTAGTTGTAGGGTGCCAAATTTCATAAAAATATAAGTTCACACTTTACCCCAAAGGAAATTGAATCATCATAAATAATAAAACACAGAAATTCCATGCTTCATTAAATTGAGTGATATGTTTCAACTAAATCAGGTGAAATCATTGTCATCCTCATTTCCAGTATCCATTTCACTCTTTGGAGGTGGAAATTTGTAGTAGGTAGTGTCTTATCATATTAGCAAATTCCTGTGAAATAATTGTAATATTTGGTTTTTCAATTTGAGTTGGCCAGAGAATTATTTGAAACATGGTTCTATAAAATGGATAGCTCAAGTTTTGTAGGAATACTTTTTATTAAATAATATTAAAATGAAGAAAATAGTGTAAGGATCACATAGACCAAGAGGCTTCATAGTGTAGTGGAAAGGAGAGTGGATTGCATACATGAAGAGTGCAGGTTCAAATCCACAAATCATACTTGCTTTCTTATTCATATGTTCTTTTCTATTATGATTATAATTTGGTAAAAGCCAGAAGATAGTATCTGCTGATTTCACATTTTACAGGAGCTATGAGTACATAATCAAATTGTAATTTTTTAAGGAAAAAGAATGCTTTTATCTTCTACCTGGTAAAAATTGATAATATTTTCTAACACATTCATTAATTTTATGGAGGATGCCTAACTATAAATAAAAAAATGGTGTCAGGTAGGTTGACTCTGCACTTCCCATGCAACGCCCTTATCAGTACATTAAGGAATATGTTTAACACAGACTATCTGAGAAAAAAATCAGCCAAACAGGTCCATACAATTAGTCCATTGACATTCTTTCCCTGACGTACCGGTTTTGCATTTGGAAACGTCGCCTCTCCCCGATATCTCACTCGGGCAGACGTGGCACTGTGGTAGCGCGGTCGGAGCATAGAAAACGCTATGCTGTTGCATGACAGAACATATATCAGAACACTCATCACAGACTGCGCACGACGGCAGTAGTAGCCGCGGCCGATAGGTACGCGATCCGTCTTCCGAGAATATTTTTCTAGTTTTTAGGGCTAATGTACAGAGAAATCTATAATGTGTGAAGCATGTCTAATAGGTGCATAGAACTACCAATGTTAGGAGCTAGTACTTGTGGGATGTAAAAAGCATACACTGTTACCACAGAATTGTCTGAACTGATGTTTTTTTTTAAATTAATAGCACAGTAAGTACTACGCCTACTACTACGGAGTTTGTGTTTGTTGTGAGTACCCGGCGCGGTAAACGTGAGGTCTTGCAGAGGTAAAGGCTCTCCATATTCCCATATGATGGCCATACTTATCATTATCTTTTAGAATAACTAAAGAGTGGGCCATCCGTTGGTTTCTTTTTTAAATTGGTATTAAAACTACACTCTTCAATAATACGTAACGCTCGATAATTTATTCAAAGGAATATGACCTTCCGATTATTTATGAAAAACAATTTCAGTTGAATGGCTGCCCCGGCTGGCGTAGTCCATCCTCTTAACCCAATTTTGAAGCACATTTTCGATAGTTTGTGGCTCTAATTCATCAATAGTTTGACAGATATTTTCCTTAAAAACATCAATTGTTTGAGGATCGTGAGTGTAACAGCGGTCCTTAACTGTACCCCATAGGAAGTAATCCATGGGCGTCAAGTCACAGTTGCGGGCTGGCCAATGAACATCTCCAAAACGGCTGATAATGCGATGACCGAACTTAATGTGTACAAGATCGATTGTTTCACGGCCGGTGTGGCATGTTGCGCCATCCTGCTGGAACCAGAGATTGTGCAAGTGCATGTCGTCTAATAGTGGCCACAAAAAACTCCTCAACATGTCTCTGTAGCGTTCCCCGTTTACCGTCACGCTGTTGAAAAAAGTAGGGACCAAGAATCCCACCACTCCAAAAGCCACACCAAACAGTTACTCTATTTGGATGCATTGGTTGTTTTTTATGACGACATGTGGATTTTCAGAACCCCACATCCTACAGTTCTGCTTGTTAACGTAACCTCCCAGATAGAAATGGGCTTCGTACGACCAAAATTGACGTCCGTTTCCAATTGATTTAGAGCCCTCACAGAGAAACGATATCGAAGCGGATGGTCACTTTGTTTCAACTCATCGACTTTAAAACGAGGATAGACCCAGCAAGTCATTCATAAAAGTACATTCCATTCGTTGACGACATAAATAAAGCACACAGAGATGGCGAGGGGCTATGAGGTAATGAGAGGGAAACAATAAAATGGCCGCCGCATTAGAATTCAGGCTGTGAAACCTAACGTCACTGAAAGCTCTATGTATAATCATTGGTAGAATTACACATAGGCGTAGCATACAATATGTATAAGGGTGACAAAATAAGCGTATTTAAATCGGGAGTATCACAAAAAAACGGTACAAAGTAACATTGTGTAGTAATAAATATATGTTCTATAATTTTTTTACTCATATTTGTGCAATATCTAGTTCAATTGGAATACCTACGTTTACTCTGTTGAGTGGGCAGGATACAAAATGTAAAGTCAATCCTTTAAAATAGAAACTATATACGAGTATATTGCAAAATGTAACAAATCAGGGAACATGGAATGATTATCTAGACCCCAAATAAGTTTTAATATAATCACATAGCTCATTTTCATATATTCATTCATAAAAATACACAAAGTATCTGCTGAAATGTATATATTGAGCAGTTTCTCAGTTTTAATATAATTTTTAAGTCTTACTATGAAAACAAATTGGGTACACATATTATATAGGCATATTGTATAGAATAATTAGCTTTGTTACTATAAATAATAATTATAACCAAAATAGTAGCAGTCATACAAGAACAAAGATTTGAATATAGGACAAACCTCGGCTATCTAAAAACTAAAATAAACGTTATTAGTCCTCTTACCACCTATTAAACTGTAAACCAATTATTCTGTATGCTGCAATATTACGTATTACAGGAGAGAAAATTAAGTTACAACACAATTCTCGTACATTATTTAGAAGCTCCAACTTGCAACAAACAAACAGCTGGTGGCTGACAGAGTTGACAATAAAAAAATGGCATCAAGAAGGTTGAGTCAGTGCAGAGTCTTCAGTTTATAAAGGATTATGTTCCTCAAGTTAAACGTCAGACCAAAAATTAAGCGATTTTTGTCTAATTTTTCGTTTTTTGCCGTTAAATTCATTGCCACTGGACCGATTTTCAAAAACTACAAATCTTTTTCATCCTGGCCACAGTAGCAACCTTGTGTGAAGTTATAGACGAGCCAAGGATTAGAGGACAGGCGGAACGAAATGAGTGAAATGATTTTTCGTGATGATCTTGGGATAATTTGTTTGTCAATATGTATTTCATACATTTCAGATTCTCTACATAGGTGCTATACCACCTCCTAAGACTTTAGATACAAATCAAAAATCCAGTTTTTCTTGGTGAATCTAAAACTGCAACGTCAGCAAGCTTCAAATTTGAGATATAAATGATTACTTGATCTAAAAACTGGAAGAAGTGTGGGCGGTGGAGGGGGATAAAGGCCTCCTGTACAAATATTTTGCAAATCTGTTCCAGGAAACAGCTGTACAAAAATAGACGTTGGTTTAATATCTTTGAAAGATGGTAATTTTAAGTCTTCCCCCAAGTATAACAGCGCATCTTGTACACTCTTACTCAGCGTTTGAGTCGCATTTCTCACCTTCATTTTCCCTCTTGCCTCCTGGAGGTGTCTGGGCCTTATTTTTGTAGCTAAGTGTAATTCCTGAGAACTTTGTATATCAACCAGTTTTACTAAAAAATTCCAGTCAGTCTGGTTGCCAGACATATCTGTCAAATATTTCTGAGAACCAAAAGTATTTATGACTAATTTTATCATGTGACAAGGATCTAAAAATATATAAACTTTGTTGACAGTTATAGGGTGATTGAAGTGGGTTTTCAGCTGTTTGGGATCACTAAAATTGGCTCCTAGATGTGATGCCATGGTCAAATTAAAGGGGCGCCGTAAAATGTTAGTAACAGTTACTCCTGACTGGTTAACAAATGTAAGGCAGTGTTTAACTACATCGGCTTTTTCATCACCACTAAGGCCATCCAAGAAAAAGTATCCTACTGGTATTTTCCAATACCCATTAATGCATACTAGCATGAATACTAGTACTATTTTTGCCTTTGGGAGAATATCTGAGTGGACATGTGTGCCTATATCAACATATCCACAAAACTTGATACCTGTCCATTCTACTTGTTTCCTAATTGACATTTCATCTATAACTATCTTTTCCCTGGGCAGCTGCTTCTTCCTTTTTAAATAGTAATGCATTCAATGCCTCTTTTGTGAATCCTGGTGAACCATCTATTGACTGATACCATCTGCTTATAGTATTGATGTGAGGAAGTGACCGATTGAAGTATTTCTCACAAAATTATAAGCTCTTGGTGAATAGAAAGCTACAGTTAAAGCGAATGATCTTATAGCTGGACTGTATTTTTGAGTTGCAGGTCCCTTCAACATTCGCACAAAAATTTCAGCAGCAGACCCTGGTAATGATTCCTGAAATATAAATGAATAATTACACTTAGTGCTTGGAGTCCTTTGTGGATCATACAGATCTTAGTTACCTTTAACATATTTTCTGACGATTCTGATGTATAATGTTTGCTTCTCAGCAGCTTCAACAGGCTGCTTAATGTATTAAGTCTTCTCCTTAAAGTTGTTACGGTCGTCTGGAGGCCACGTCTTTTTTTCCTCTCGGATATTAAGGCACATTTCAGAATTTTGAAATTTCTTTTTGCCTTTTTTGGGGTGGAAAAATACTCACTAGATATATCACCCACATAACGAATTTTCCTGAAATGTTCAGATTTGAGAAAAATCACCTAAAACTGCTTTAAAACATTTTAAATAAATTGCTTCATACATAACA